AAAGAGGATGATTGTCAAAAGCCCATCTCTCTATACACTCATGAAACCAGGAGGTGTTCATGGCTGAAACGAACACAACTATAAGAACTATAAACGGTAAAGGGTTGATTGTGTGACATATGGTTATCTAGGTATACACCAAATCTTGACGGTTCAAAGATATCAAATATACCGATTGACCGAGTATATCCGACATATGTTCACTATGAAAAGTTCAAAGGGAAACCTACTTATCCAGATGCAATTAATTATTGCTTGTAAAGTACACAAACTTGTCCGTTTCTTTGTCTTGGAGTCATTCCCCATTCATGCGGGGGGATTGTTGGATTTTAAAAGGTGTGAATGGAAAATGAAGAGTTTCGACTTTTATGAAGAGCTGTGACTTTTATGAAAAGTTGCGACTTTTACGAAGAGTTGTGACTTTTATGAAAAGTGTGAATTCTATGAAAAATTGTGACTTTTATGAAAGGTTGTGACCTTTGCGAATGATTGTGACTTTTCCGAAGGGTTGTGACTTTTTCGGTAAGGCACAATAAGCACCATTTCACACTACCCTTTGTTGTCTATAAATAGAGAGTTTCCTCTTACTTTTCAACAAGGAAAGAACCAATTTTCTGGATTTCTTCTACTACTACTAAATCTAGTATTCTAAGTGTATTTTACTGTTGTTGAGTGGTTCGCTGACACAGTGGTTTTAGGTACCGATACATCGGTGAGTAAGATCGTTCTATCCTGGGAGGATATATTCCATTAACCTCGGGTACTTGAGGGGAATAATTTCCTTAAGGGGATACCGTGCATTCAGTGGGCTCGATTTTCTTCTTTAAGAAATTTTTTTTGTATATTGTTTCTAATATGTTTCTGATTCTATTTTCTCTACTGGTTTAAATTTTCTAGTTTTGAAAATACTCCTTAAACTTTATTTTTCTTATCAAGTTCTTCAAAGTTTTTGTTCTAAGTACCTTAGGAATACAGGATGAATAACACGGTTTTGGAAAGAACATGCCATGGTCCCCAAAAATCATAGTAAACTAACTGAATAGATGACTATAATACCTCATAAATATGAAGTTAAGATCAGACCATACATATCAGAATCTAAGGAATTTAGTGGTTAAAGAGTGCAAGAAATTGATTTTTACGGAAGTCATTTACGAGCTGTAATAGAAACCACATATTGTAGATGATGCTCGTGAATCAACTTTTGAGATTTGGATTGTAACTTGAATTTTACAGGTCCAATCTACGGGTCGTGAATCAAACCATGGACCTAGATTGAGCTCTTGGAATAAATTCGAGCAACATGACTTTTAGCCTGCTTTTCACGGACTCAAACCATGGATCATAGAATTGATCTCGTAGATGGAACATCATAAACTTAAAATTGTAGCTGATTTCTACGGATGGGAAGAATGTGTATTTTTTAAGTTGGAGGAGAAATTGATCTTTAAAGCAAACTTGGGGGATGATATGATATGCACCCATAAGAGACATAACCACATGAGTATATTAGGAACCCCTAGCATTATATTAGAGAATTTTAAGTAGAATTTTCTTTTAAATTTGTTACTTATGGATTCTTTACCCTTCTAGTGTATTGTTTCCCCTCTATACCAATAGAAATTTAGTGAACATTATCCACATATTTTTTGGTGTAAAGTGAAATTCCTCAAAGACACATCTGAATAACCTTTTTATCAAGAAGAAATGTCATTTTAAAAATTGTTTATGTAGTAAAGTAAATACTATCTCTAGGAAGACAGAGAAAATTTCAAATTCAAATATAGAGATATGTAATCAAACTAAAATATTGAATTCATTAAGGATAGTGGGAGATCTTACCTAAAATTTCAAGAACATCAAAAAGAAGGGTATGCAACTTCTTGATCACTGTGATAAAAAACACACAAAAGCTAATGAGATTTAGTTTTCGATAAGTTCATTTGGTCTTTAGTTTTCCTAAAATTCTTGAGGACATATTTCGCAAAAGAAATCGATATACCTTGAATATTAAAGAAAAAAATGAAAGATGATAAAACTCACCAATGCTGAAGTAAATTCTTTCATACTTTGTCTTAACCATTTGTGAGTCATTAACTACATTCTCCACATCATTGGCATTTGGTCTTCTTTGGAGACTCCGTGTAGTTAACTTGATAGGAACACCTTAACTAAGGGG